TTGGAAGAATTTTCCACAAGTGAATCCAGTAACAGTCAGAATTTCTCAGCTTACTTTAACATTAAAACTCTGTTACTCACCCAGAGACAATTTGGTTTTTAGGAAGTATCCTTTAAATTTGCTGAGGGCAAGGGGAGCGACTCCTGCTTGAAGAATAAAACACTTTACCTTCTTAACCTCTTTGACCTCCTCCTGTAATATGTCTCTGTGTGGCCGACATCTCGAGGAGGAGTGGATGCACTTCTTTGTTTTTGCTTTATGACAAAGACACCCATTGTGTTATTGCCAAGTGGTGACATGGTGAAATGTGAGTTGCTGTGTATATTGGCTCAGGAATCTGGAGTCACCTTTTCCCCAGAGCTTGTGGGATGAGTGGCAGGAGCTGAGTCTGAAGGGCAGACGCACATTGTGAGCGTGATGAATGAAGCAAAGCAACTCAAGTTCACTCACGGGGAAGTACTGAGGAGTTTCTGGAACTGACGGATGGATTTCTGTCATTATGATGAAAACTGTCAGTCTTTAAAAGACGTGAATGCATTGGTTTTATGAGAATCAAGAGGCTTGACTTCCTTAACTAAGGTCATATGTTGATAAATGACATTAGTAGATAAACCTCTAAAAATAAAAAAAGTACTTATTGATTCTAACTAGTCTAGATGAGATAACGTGGGATAAGTAAAGGATAAACAAGTGGCATGAGAACATAATCTGTTCTGCCATAAAACCTGCTAGATTAGCTGCTAAAGAACAAAGTGACAGTTAAATTCCTTTTTTGTTCTTTGATAAGATCAGTGGGTTGACTTTTCAACTGTGTTACTAATCTGCAAATTAGCTGTTCTGGAGCCTTGTATGATAATTTGGGGGGGATGTGAATGATGCATTTACTAAAAGAAGTAAGTTTTTCTGCAAAAGTTGTAGTGCAAACGACTGCTGATGTTTGGTCAAGAAGCTATAATTCAATTGTTCAAGTTAAAACTAACAAAACAGCTAAAATTGGCTGAACAACCTGAGCGCTAAAACTAGCAAAAGCTAAAAACAATTTTTTTTATTTTCCTTCTTTTGGCTTCTCACTTCCTCAGGGGTCGCCATGAAGACATGGCAATTATTTTTACGCCTGATGTTCTTCCTGACGCAACCACAGACCACTGAGCTACCACAGCCCTCAGAGTGGAGCAGAGAGCTGCCATCTAGGGTGCACAGGGGTTAAGGGCCTTGCTCAAGGGCCCAGAGTGGGGCAAATGAAGGTGGAGACAGGTGTGGGTGCTTCACTTATCCCACTCACATTTTGATGTTGTCTGTACCGGGAGTTGAACCAGCGATCTTCCAATCGCAGCTCTCACCTTCTCTAACCTCCGCGCCACCACTCCCCACAAAAGCTAAAAACTAAAATTATCAAAGCAAAATCCAAAACTGAAAACCAACAGCAGCTAAAAGCTAAAACCAGCAAAGAAGATAAAAGGTCAAATGAGCAAAACATTAACAAGAAGCTCAAATTAGCAGCGCAGTAGCTAAAGGTTAAAATGAGCAAAAGCTAAAATTGGCTAAACAAAGCTAAAACTAGATTAACTAACACCAAAGCCAACTGAACAGTAGCTCAAAACTAATCACAGCAAAAAGGGTAAAATTAGCAAAATGTTAACCTTTAGCTACTGTTCTGCTAGTTTGAGCTTGTTGTTAAAATTAGCAAAAGCTAAAATTAGCTAAACAAAACTAAAAGCTCAAACTAGATTAACGAACAGTAAAGCCAACTAAATAGTAGCTAAAAGCTAATACAAGCAAAGTAGATGAAGGTTTATTTATTTATTTATTTATTTATTTAAAGCAAAGTAGATAAAAGGGTAAAATTAGTAAAACATTAACAAATAGCTTAAACTAGCAGAGCAGTAGTTAAAGGTTAAAATTGGCTAAACAAAAGCTAAAATTAGCTAAACAAAACTAAAAGCTAAAACTAGATTAACACAAACTATTGAACAGTAGCTAAAAACTGAAGCCAACAAAGTAGATAAAAGCTATACTGTAATTAACAAAACAGTGGCTAAAGGTTAAAAGTTGGCTAATGAAAAGCTTAAAATGACCAAAACAAAACTTTGTAAAAAAGTCAGATACCAAAAGTCACAGCTGTAATGTTCTGAACAAGCAGGAGATTTTAATTAGCTGAAATAGCTGAAAGTTATGCCAAAGTAGTGGTTGTCTAACAACCGAAAGTAACTATAAAGAAAAGTGTGAGTGCTAACTCTGCATTCACACAAGCATGGGTCAACATAAACTACCATGCCCCCTACAAAACTCTGTTCTGATGCAAAGGATCTGTTCTGCATACAGTATGCAGGGGGGGTGGGGGGGGTGAGATTCCTGTCTGCATTTTTACGCCATCAAGTCCCATTCTGGTTTGGTTTTTGCATGACAAAGATGCCAAGTGGAGAAGGAGCAGAAAAGTGGCCTTTTCAACACCTTGAGTGCCGTTATCAGGCTGTGGGGGCTCTGTCCGGAGAACATAAAAATACGCTGAGATAAGGAGGCTACCGGGGGAGGGTGGGGTGGAGACACTCGAAGCCAAGATTGACGAGTCCCCAATCACATATGGGTCTAATCGTTATCAGCTTGTAAAGAAGGAGAACAAAAAGCTGCTGAATATAGCGTCTCACTGCTGCTTGGTGAATGAATGTTCGAAAGTTACTGATTCATGTGGAAGGCTGGTTTACAGCCTTCTCTACTTTTTTCTTTTTATTTAGCCTTTATTTATACAGGCACTTGTGTCATCTTAAGTCACAACATTGGAATCCTTATTTAAAACCTTATTCTGCAACATCTTAATGTCATACAAATAAGTTTTCAGAGTATTAAGTGCGTCATGTTGAAAAAAGTGACATTTAAAGTCCAATTCAATTTATTTATATAGCACCAAGTCACAACAGAAGTCATCTCAGGACAGTGTACAGAAACATTCTTATACATAAAAAGTAAGTTAACACATTATTTATCTGAGGAGCAGCTTTGAGTTTAACTCCATCACAGGACTTTCATCTTGAGCAAGCACGAAGGCGACAGTGGAAAGGAAAAACTCCCTCATGAGGAAGAAACCTTTAGCAGAACCAGGCTCGGGACAAGCAGCCATCTGCTTCGACTGGCTGGGTTTGAGAGGAACAGATACACAATGGCAGGTCAAGAATCACATGTTAATATAGAAATAATATCAAATGAACTATTCATTTGTTACAATTGAATGAGGTCAATTTGTCCTCCAGTAGTCTAAGCTTAAGACAACATGACAAGCCAATCCTAATTATAGGATTTATCAAAAAGGAAAGTCTTAAGCCCAGTTTTAAAACTGGACAATGTGTCAGCCTCACAGACAGAAACTGGAATTTGTTTCCTCAAGAGAGGAGCCTGATAACTAAAAGATCTTCCTCCCATTCTGCTTTTGGAAACTAGGGACCACAAGTAAACCTGCAGTCTGAGAGTGAAGTGCTCTGTTGGGAAAATATGGAACAATAAGCTCTCAAATATAAGATGGAGCTAGGTTGTTGAGGGCTTTGTAGGTGAGAAGTAAGATTTTGAATTCAATTCTGGATTTGACAGGGAGCCAATGGAGAGAAGTTAAAACTGTCTCTCCTACTAACTCCAGTTAAGACTCTGGCAACAGCATTTTGGATCAACTGAAGACTTTTTAAAGAAGTATTTGGACACCCAGATAACAAACTGTTGCAATAGTCCAGTCTAGATGTGACAAATGCATGGACCAGTTTTTCTGCATCATTTTTAAATAAGATGTTTCTAATTTTGGCGATATTACGCAGGTGGAAGAAGGTGGTTCTGGGAATGTTTTTAATGTGGGGGTTAAAAGACATGTCCTGATCAAAAATAACACCAATATTTTTAACATTAGAGCTGGAGGACAGATTAATGCCATCTAAGGAGGGCGAAAAACTGGAAAATGTATGATCCGGTCCAAAAACCAAAATCTCAGTCTTGTCTGAGTTTACAAGCAGAATATTTAGGGTCATCCAGATTTTTATGTCTTTAAGACATGATTGTAGTCTAATTAATTGATTGGATTCATTGACCAGTTGACCATACTGTGTTTTTAAAGGGTTAAACAAAGCAACTTTCCCACAATTGATTCACTAATGTGAAAACGAACAACAATCTGTGGGGTGTCCAATGTTTTTGAACAGAGACCATTTCTGTCATTGCTGTTGCAGAAAAAAACGATATCTAAATGCTAATTTGTTGTTTCTTTTGCCTAGCGCTTAAATGCATTGTAGGCGTAGTTCATTGTTTTTGGTCTCTTTGTTTTCTTGGACACTTTGTCATGTGTGTTCAGGCAAATAAGCATGCTTAGATCAAATGAAACTTATATTCATTCAAGGAATGCAAAATGCTCTCAGCCTTGCATGCCAATGTTTTAAATATATCTTTCCCAATCTGTTGTGTGTTATGAATGACGTTCAGCTACAACCACACCAAATTTAACCATAGCAATTATAAAATAGACAAAGTTATAACCTTTTTAAAAAAAATAAAAAATAAGGCTGTGGAAGCCATCATGTATCAGGTTGAGTCAAAAAGTTATCCAACAAACACTTTGAGGGCCCACCTTTCATGGCAGTAGCTGATAAAAAAAAACCATAAATATATATGAGAGAGAGTGAGATAATTTGTAAGTATTTGTTGATTGATTTCACTTTGTTTACTCACTGTGTTCTCTGCTCTTTCAGACGTTATGTCAAACTGTTGCAACACTTCCAGGATAAAAATACTTATCTTGTAGAGAAGCTGACTTCTTGCAGGCTTTTACTAAATCTAGAGGATTTTAGAGTAAGCGCAAAAAAAAATCCAAGATCAGCAAAACTCCAGCCAGTGGCTGTGCAGTGTGGTAATTGCAGAGCTTTGTGTATAATTAAAGAATAATATTCAAGCAGGGAAAATAGTGACATAAAAATGAAAGGGGAAAGTTACGCAATTGTAAATCCACAATCCTCCGTTTCTTTTCTCTACAGCGCTCAAGTGCAATGAATCTGGAGCGCAACGACAGACGGGAGCGTCCTTTGACTCGAGGGCCAGACATGGAGGCTCGCACTGGGGGGAAAATGGGGAAGATATCGGTGGGTTTCCAAAGGAGCTCCACCTCAGATGACGACTCTGGATGTGCGTTGGAGGAATACGCCTGGGTGCCACCGGGACTCAGGCCAGAGCAGGTAGAGCTTTTCTCCCACAATGATGTCATTTGACCACAGATGCGCACCTAATCTCTTGTCTTTCAGCATTTCCTTAAGCGCAACTTTTTCCCCATAACGTTTCAGCACAAAATAACTTGAGAAACATGGGAAAGTATTCTCTCTACACGGATGCGCACACTACAAACACATCTTATCCAGGTTTTCATTTCTCCATTTAAGAGAAATTAATCGAGGCAAACATTAACATTTACAGTCTGTCGTCGTCTCCTTGTGTAAGGATTCTCATTGCGGAAGGATTTCATGGTCAGGTGCTTGTGACTGGATACAGATTACAGTTTTGGCCCAAGAAGTCACAAAGGAAGGAGATGCACTGCCATGCCTGGGTGATAGTGAAAGACTGATTTGTCTTGTTTCCTTGAAACGGCTCGACAAAAGCCCTGTTGATTTCTCATATTTGCTCATATGCTAAACTCGTGCATGTGTCTCCGCATCCAGGTCCAGATGTATTTCTCCTGTCTGCCAGAAGACAAGGTGCCGTATGTGAACAGTCCTGGAGAGAAGCACAGGATCCGACAGCTCCTCTATCAGCTGCCACCACATGACAATGAGGTAAACAGTCGTAGTGACGACGATGCAAGAATAGGCAAAATATAAGAAAAACTTAAAAGACAAGAAATGAACACAAATTGTGAATTCTGCTCATGCAACGTTCATTGCACACGTGAGCTGCAGTGTTCAAGTACAACTCAAGAGCTTCTACTGCCATTATACTCCCAGACAGTAGGTGTCACTCCAGCAACAACTATGCCATTAGACATCAAAGTTCATGCTCGATCATCCAGGTACAAAATCCAATAATGGTCAATCAGGTCATCTGGACAGTTTAGTCTTTGTGGAAACCTTTAGTTAAAGTTTGTGCATTTTTCTTTTCCCACAATTTTGCGTCTCTAATTGGACACCATAACCTTGACCTCTCTAAGTGGGTTTAAGAATTTGTTGGACTCCTGGCAGGGAACAACGCAGACATGATCCTGTTTTTAGTTTTCTACATTCGCCTTAGAATCCAGCTGTTTTTGTTACCTTTTTTAGCCATCCTATTTGTTTTTTTAAAAAAAAACCTGGAGTATGACTTTTTCTAATTGTTTATTGCTGTCGCTGTTGTCCATTGTTGTCATCATTCTTTGTTGAAATCAGGTCTCTCTTGTAAATGAGTCCTCGAGGCTCAATGGGATTTACCTGTCTAAATAAAGGTTGAAAGAAAGAAATCGCAGCCCAGTGAAATACCACCTTTTATAATAAAAATATAATAATTTTGACAATACCTAACTGAGCTTAAGGCCACCGCTAAACAATCTAATCTTAGTCCTTTTTAGTCAAAACAATAGCTGCATTCCCGTGACCCAAACAAAAAAAGAAACTTATTTACATTAATGCACAAGCTGGCCTCTACAGTGTAACCATTTTATGGTTTGTAAACCAGCACTCCTATCACATCTGGGTTAATAGAGCTTACATAGGGAGATATAGTGGGGAGTTATCACCAGAGAGAAAAGGGTGGGTGGGTTGTACTGACAGGGGTGGTCTTTGTGTACACATTTAGAAGATACACAGTGTGTGGCTATTGTTTTATGTTTGTTGGCAGACCTGGCAGCCGAGGAAGCAAAGGGAGGATTCCTTGCGTAGCTGTGGTTAGAATGGATATGCAACATGTGTATAAATGAAAGGGAGACAAAGAGACGGTTAATGCGTGTGTGTGTGTGCAAGCTCACACACCGGCATCGTTTACTGTTGTTTAGAGTACAGCTGAGCTGGTTGTTAGGACGGTCCAAGTCTTTTATCTGAGACTTTATCCTCAACTCTAAATACAGAGGAAGGATTTGTGTACTGCTCCTGCCATCCCTTCAAAACACCCTCAGGACGTGAATTACCTTCAATTTAACTCCTTTTCCAAGCAAATAAGGATTTTGTGTGATCCACTTCCCCAAACTTGTATGCGAAGATGAAAGCGGGGTCATTAGCTGTAATGGGTGGATGTTTTTAAGGGATAATTTGGCTTTTTCCTACCAACTTACTTCTGCTTGTGGACAAAACTTGACCTTGATTTCTTTTTTGTCTTTTTTTTTTTAACAGGTGCGCTATTGCCATTCTCTGTCTGAGGAGGAAAAGAGGGAGCTCCAAATGTTCAGCACCCAAAGAAAGAGGGAGGCATTGGGGCGAGGGATGCCCAAGATCCTCCCCAGAGCTCTGCAACACACCCGCTGTGAAAACGTATGCACTCACAAATGTGCACACGAGCATTCAATAAGATAACATTTACCAGGGAACCAACCGGTGGGTCTTGGGCTATTTATATCCGCCAACATCCACTATCCTTTCCATGGCTGCCTGAGGCACAGTTCTGTCCAGCTAGCACAGCAATTTTAATCACTGACATAAACTTCCTCATTAGAGGAAACGGGATAATCATGTTTAAGCCGAGCAGGGAGGCCAGTTCCTCATGAGGAGCCCAGCCAATTTCCTGCCACCATCTACATCACAGCATGAGAGACTGCAAAAACCCAGATTAATTAGTAACTCTTGAACAAAGTCTTAAAATCTTGTTTTTCTCTTAACAAGTCAAAGTATGCAGTAACTAATTACATATATACTGGTCTCATTAGAGCTGTATGTACAGTTTTTTTCCCATTAGATTTTATATAAAACAGTTCAGGAATTGCAGGGTTGTTTGTGTTTTCTGGGACTTTTAATAGGTTTTGACAGGGTTGAAGCCATGCATTGAGCAAACACACTTTTGTTCTTCAAATTTGGAAACACTTTTGCAATACTAACATCCAAACTATTCAGTCCGTCCACTATCGTGTATCTTAAATGTCCTTTCATTGCAATAAACATAAATATTGGTGTTTGTGGCTTCTGCCGGATTCAACCCTAACAAATGAGTGAACCACATCCTATGCCAAGCTTCTTAACAGGAGCAGATGAAGAGCAACCGATGTAACTCTCCCTGAACATTCATTTGCGGTCTGTCACCACTCGGACGCAGATGCTAACTTAGGAGATGCAAGGTCACACACATGTTCGAAAGACTCAGACATTCCGGACACCCAACGCTCGGCAAACATGTGCTATTGTCAACCACACACTTGTGTTTAGGACATACAGCGATGACACACGCGTCTTAACTTTCAGGGACGTGCAACACCACAGTTTTCAAGGCCTCAGTGTGTCCAAACTGGTAATAATGACCAACAGCTGGGCATGTTATCCCATATCTTCCTATGGAGGTCTCATAAATAAGTATGTTTAGTTATATAAAGACTGCATGTTGAGACTCGCTTCAACAATCTCAGAGTGAGAGGATCTTTTGTTGGAGAGCCATTGCCTGTTTTAAAAGGAAAAACCAGTGGTTTTATTGATGATAATACCAATATCAAATAGCCACTGTTAAAAAAACCAACAAAAAAAACTAGTAAGACCATGAATAGCTTTCAACTGAAGTTCATCCATGTAGTATTTATTTTTTTTTTTTTTACAAGGTTTCCCTTGCCCTTTATAGTTGGATCACGTGATGTTTGATTTGTATATGCTACATTTCTCATAGGTCACCAGCTGTTTCACTTATTTTAAGGAGTTATTTGTGATCTCCTTGGTTAGATTTTAATAAGATAGTAATTATCACCATCATGATTGACAGATTAATCCCAGGTATTATTTCTTGTGTGTGTTTGACAGTGTCATGGTGGCATTAATGGAGGGGAGATGGCAATTTTTGCCTCCAGAGCCGGCCCAAGTCCTTGCTGGCACCCAGCGTGCTTCGTGTGCGCCACATGTCAAGAGCTCCTGGTGGATCTCATCTATTTCTGTCAAAATGGCAAAATCTTATGCGGAAGACACCATGCAGAGCTCCTCAAACCACGATGCTCCTCTTGTGACGAGGTAAGCGGCACAATGTTGGCAGCTGTCACGTTTTCAAAGCCACGTGGAGTTAACGAGATGCATCTTTTTATAGATCATCCTCGCAGATGAGTGCACAGAGGCAGAGGGCCGTCACTGGCACATGAAGCACTTTGCCTGTTTTGAGTGTGGGACGATGCTGGGTGGGCAGCGATATATCATGAAAAATGGACGGCCCTATTGCTGTGGGTGCTTTGAGTCACTATATGCAGAGTATTGTGAGGCCTGTGGTGAAAACATTGGTAAACCATATTTTTGATCCCTCAATTACTCTTTTGGAATTCAAATCAAAACCTAATATTCTTCCACAGATGCCAAGACTACACTAATGGATTTTTTTTCCTTTTATCCAATCCTTTAGGTGTTGACCATGCTCAAATGACCTATGAAGGTGTACACTGGCACGCCACAGACCAGTGCTTTTGTTGTGCTCAGTGTAAGACATCCTTGCTGGGTTGTCCCTTCCTGCCCAAACAAGGCCGCATCTATTGCTCAAAGGCGTGCAGCCAGGGAGAAGACATACATGCTTCAGACTCGTCTGATTCTGCATTCCAGTCTGCCCGCTCACGTGAGTCACGGCGCAGTGTTCGTATGGGGAAGAGCAGCCGACCTGCTGAGCAGTGGAGACAGTCACAGCTGTTAAATCCTCCGCCTACCCATCCATCTTACGAGCAAAGATTCAAGAATGGTAAGGGGGACAGAGATGTGGATGGCGACATTGATATCGTTGGACGTAAACTGAACCAAATGGGCCTAGAGGAGGAGAGATTTTGGAAGGAGCGGGAGGAGCAGGATGCTGGTGGAGAGGAGGATCCAGAGGAGTGGGCTCAGCACGATGACTACATGACTCAGCTGCTACTTAAATTTGGTGACCGTGGGATGCTACATCAATTTCAGCAGCAGTCTTTAAAATCACCCAGTCTAACTAGTGATACAAACAGGCTAATAAGTGTTTCTGATCCCTGGCTAAAGCCTGATTCTACAGCTATGGGGATTAGCACCTCTTCTCCCACCCCTGCCAGTCCAACACAGAGTCAAATTTCCAATCAGTCCCGGGCCAACAGCCTTAGCCCTGGATTGATGGACAATAAACACCTTCCGGAAATGTACTGGGCCCAGTCACAAGATGGCCTTGGAGATTCAGCCTATGGGAGCCACCCTGGTCCTGCCAGTGTCAGAAAGATCCAAGAACTGGAGCTGGACCAAGATCAGGATCAGCCTGAACCAGGAAAACAGGTCTTCTGGTCAGACAGCAGGCAGTGGTACGAGGACTCCCTTGAGTGTATTGCTGATGAGCTGAGGAAGGTTGAGAAGGGTGTCGGAGACTCCATGGATTCCTTGGCTCTCTCCAATATCACTGGTAAGGATTATGCTGGTAACACAGATGTACTTTCTTAAATATATATTTTTTTAAAAACTGTGAAAACATATCTATCTTGTTTGCCTCTCAGGTGCATCAGTAGATGGTGAAAGCAAGGACACACCTATGGTCTACACTCTTCATGCCATGCAGGATTCCACGTTGACGGTTGACTGCGAGAAGATGAGCAACATGGGAACGTTTAACTCATCTCATCTTCACTACAGCGCCAACTCGCTCAATCTCAGCATGGAAAAGAGAGGTGAAGTGGATGGTGAGATTGGAATGAGGGGAGGAACTGCAGGAGGACTTCTCTCATTGTCTCCTCATTCAGAAGGACTCCCTCCATCCTTTGTTCAACCCCCAGCTCTCAGGAGGAGCAAGTCGCAAGCTAAGCCACCTCAGGTGGTTAAATTTTCAGAAGACACTGTGGACAATGGATATAATGATAGTTTAGAGGTCAGTATTACAAAGCATCCAATGAGTGAGAAACCACAGAGAAGGGCATACGGTCCAGAAGAGTTGGGCAGAGAAAGAAGCCGTTCAACAAGTCACCATGGGCGCAGCAGGCAAACCCACCACCGGCCAGGCCGGCGCCATCGTAGCCGCAAAACCCGTTCAGACAATGCCCTTCACATGGTGCCTATGGAAAGGGCACAGAGACCATTTGAACCTCAGCAGCAGGGCCTAGGAAACCCTCCATGTAGTGCAATGCACCTACAGCATCCCTCACACATCTTGCCTTTGGCTTATTCCCAAATTCGATCTGATTATATGCTTCGGAGCGCAACCAAAAATGACCCACGGGTCGAACATTTTATGGGTCTCTACAGAGATGAGGATGACTGGTGTTCTACTTGTTCTTCTTCATCAGACTCAGAGGAGGAAGGCTATTTTTTAGGCCAACCAATCCCTCAGCCTCGAGGTGTTGGGCACTACTATGCAGAAGACTACCCAACCAGAGTCACAGCGCTGCCTTCCCTCAGCCATCATGGCCCACAGACTGGTCGCCGAAAGAGCCACAACTCCAAAAACTGTATAATTTCCTAACATACCTTAGTTGTTTTTATGTGTACAACACAAAGCAATACTATTGGGATGGTTTCAAATGGTCACATCTGATCTGAGAAAGGCAAACCAACTATTAAAACCGCAAAGACAAAAAAATTGCAATAAAGTCGGAAAATCCTTTACCTGTACTGACCTAGATTTTGGGTATTACTGAATGAAGTTCAGCATAAACAGGATGAATACCTAAGAGTTGGAGTTGTGTCCCTAAAGACGACCATTGGAAATGAGGCACGAGCATTAAATTCTTTCCAGAATTTGTCATTAGGTTTTTTATTAGTTTTTGTTTTCAGTTGAATCCTTTACAATACTAAATTTGTTAATTAAAATTGCCATGCTATTGTACAGATCATTGACCATTCAAGTAGAAAATAGAAACTAACCAAATTATTATTTAATGGTGTAACGATACAAAAAATGTGTGTATATATATAATATACATTAAGTTAAATTTTAAAATCCTTGTATTTTTATATCCGTTACAGAATTTTTTTTTTTTAAACTTCTTTATGCTTTATGTAAACAGACAAAAGGTGCCCTTATTTTACAGTAAAGTGCCATTATAATTTTAAAATCATGTTTCCTACAACAGGTTCAACATAACTCACTGTAGAAAATGGGCAGCAACACACCTGTATTTGCACCTGTTAACTACCATTGATGTGACAATATATTCTTTTTGATGTACAAATGCTTGTAATAAATGATTTTATTAAATGTTAACTGGCCTTTTTAAGTTTGGAAGTTTCATTTTCCACCTCGGCTGGATGGATATGTATCTAGTATATATGTAAGTGCTAGTATTATATTTCCAAAATCTAGGACAAATTCCCTACCAATATACTTTTCAAATATGCATCTGATAAAATACACTCCTAGTATACCTTAAGTGTGGATTTTTTAATGCTGTGTGATCAAATATTTCACTTTTTAGTATATTAGTATGTCATTAAAATAAACTTTCTGGGTAACAAATGTTAACTGTAAAATCCAGAACAAGACACAAAGAATTGAGTTCAGCTCACGTTTCTAGATCATATAAATTTATCCAAGGATGTTAAAACAGTTTTAAATGTCACAGCACCAATTTGTACAAAGTTTTACTAGTTGTACATAGTATAAGAAAACAAAAACTAAATACGTGATAACTGAAAACTTAAACAAAAAAAGTAGCCAAATACTTAACTCAGCAACTTGTGAACCATTTTCACTGCAAAGAGACTTGATTTTAAATTAAACATTAAAAAAGAAAAAGCAACTTTTAGAACATTTTTATTAACGTTCTGTTGAAAACTTGAAAGGTAAAAATGGTCAGTTCAAAAGTAACACTGTTCATTCGTGTGACAGAGTTCAAGTTGCTGTGATGTATTTTCAGTCCCAACGATCCTAAATCCATGGCTCGCATTAATGTGGATTGGGCCAATGCTTCAGAAAGATGAGCTGCTGTTCGCTCCCATCTTTGAGAGTTTGGGAGTCATGGATGTGGAGGGAGTGGCTGAGTCACAAGCAGACGGTTCCCTCTGCAGCACCACCTCGTCCAACTCGTTGATGAAGTGTTTGAGATCCTCCAAGCAGCGCTCGCGAATTTCCCCGAGGTTTTCCCGGAGTGGTACTTGCAGCTGTTTCTCCAAGTTTGGGTCTTTGGCCACGAGCATCTTCACAACCAATCCAAACGTTTCGCAGTCCTGACGATAAACCTGGAGGTAGACAGGAGAGGAAACTCGTCTGTTATATAAAATCCAACCAGTGAGAGATTTATTTATACTGTTAAAATGAATGAAATTTGATAATGAAGCTGAAAAGGAATTGATAAAAATGGTAAAAACACTAGCTAAAAAGTAGCAAAACTGGAAGCTAAATGTAGCTATAGGCTAGCTAAATTATATATAAAGATGTGCTAAAAGCTAAAATGTAACTGAATGGTAGGTAAAACCTAAAAGGAGCATAAGAAGATGGAGAAATGTGCAAAAAAGCTGGATGGAAGTTGAAGGAAATTTAAGAACAAATTTTCTATTGGAGACGATGTGTGAAAATAAGATGCAAAAACCGAGTCATAACACCCATCTCCTGAATGTACCCCAAAGTTTGCACATGTAAGATTAGAAATAAAAGGGAAAAGATTAAAACGGGAAAACTGAATGGTAAGGCAATAAAAAATAAAACACTAGAGGGCAAGTTTATTGTCATAACACTCCCAGGAAACAAACTTGCACCCAGACGTAGACTTCAGGGAACAGGCCGAAACCTTTTTAAGAGAAAAGCTTTTAATTTGGGGGTGAAGAACCGGTTCCTTCCTGCGCTACCTGTCGCCTGGGTGCAAACACTCCACAACACTGAGGCTGATCGCTCGGGTGTGAACACACACCGTGTAGCGACAAAGCATCGCTTCTCTCACTTTTAATAAGGGCACTTTCTACGGGACGGGGCAGGCCGAGGAACAATAAACCCTCATCTAATTAGTGGCTTAAAGGCTTCCGCCTGGTGTCAGAGGGACAATGAGGAAAAAGGGGTGCAGCAGTCTTGTTTGGGAGTTGCCATTTCACGCAGAAACTTCAAAGTCAATTTCACACAGGTTTGAGTTGCAAAACAGAATCTAGAGGAATAAACTTATTTGGAGTCGGCTGAAACAAAGTGACTCATTAAATAAGCCCACTAATGCTCCTGCTTACTGCATCAAAACTGCGCCGTCGGCTCAAACGAATACATCCAGTGACGAGGACCGTGTTCAAACATGCCTCTGAACGCAGCGTGTAAAATTAGGACAGGCAAAGGCGACTTTCACCATCGGGACCCATGGGTTGCCTCTTTGCTGCAGGGTGCTCCAACTCACAGACCCATTTATAGATTTTCAAAGTTCCCAGAATACAACGCAACAAGCAAACGGGGATCTGTTGCCAAAGTTAATGGATGTGTAACCACAGAGTAAGACTTCACTCATAAAATAAATCAAATAGTGTTACTACAATGAAGTCTAGGATACTCAAATGTAAACTTTTTTAACCCCACTGTCATTAGATTATAGATCTCAGGTTACCTGATATATTAGGTATAGTACTAATATATATATATATATATATATATATATATATATATATAAATAAACATTTTGATGAGCAAATTTCCCAGTTCCATATAGCATTGTGAAACATTGCCATAGAACATAAGAACAAGGTTTGCTTTAGGGATGCACGATATTATCGACATTGTATCGGCTGATATTAGCGTTAAAAAATATTGGACATCGGCCATTCCATCAAAATAACTCACTGATAGAAAAGGCGGTGTTTTTGTAGGACAACCCAGTGAAGAGGATGCCTGCAGCGGCCAAACAACGTGATGACGTCACGCGCGCCTACCTGATCTCACGGCAGAGAGGAAAATTCAAAATGTCGGCAGTGTGGAAGTTTGTTTTTTTTCGTTGAGGATGTCTGATTCTGAAGATTTTTGGACTACGTTGAGCCTCGCTACATCGTCCCTAGTCGGAGATATTTTTCCAACGTAACCGTACCCCAGTTACAAGCGTCATTTTCGACGTCGTTGAGAAGCTAATAGCCGATAGCACGACTTGTTGGGTGAGTTTTACCACAGACGTGTGGACGTCGTGTTAGCCCCGTTAGCATGATTGGTCTTGCGGCACAATGGATAGAAAAACTGAACTTAAAAAAAGTGTGTCCTTCATGCACAAGAGTGCAGAGGATCCCACACTGCAACTAGAAACCTGGAACAAGCCTCCGCTAGTGAAACAGCATCGCAGGTGACTAATGCTAATAACATTTAACACTTTTCATTTAATATAAGTTAAAGTGCAATACATATCATATGGCTGTTACTGAATATACGTCACCAGCTCTTACAGCTGTTGCACAGTTTTTGTAGCAAATAAGCCTAAATAAGAGGGCTATGTTCTGACAAATGAAAGTATATAAAATATCGGTATCTGCCAAATAAGTTTTAACATATTGGTATATCGAACAAAAATCCAATATCGTGCATCCCTAGTTTGCTTCAGTGGTACTGCAAAACGGTTTTGTGTTCGACCTTCTTGATGAAAGTTGGGCTCAAACCTGCGGCCTCAGGACAAGACCACTGAGCCATCACAGCTCCAGCTGACAATAGTGAATTAATTCAGGAAATTGTCTCAGGAAGAATCCAATCAGTGCAAAAAACTACAGCTTCTCTGAATCCCTGAGTATTTGTTCTTCCACAGCTATGCGCTGAAAATGTCTTTCCTGTATTCGAACACGCTTCCTGAAATCAGGAAGGACAGGACATGTTGTGGACTCTGGGTGTGTGTACCCTCGCAGAACAGATTGTTTTTCAGCTCTTACTTTGTTTAGGTGTTTTAAAGCCGTGTAGAGTGAGGCTGGGTGTTTGCTTTTATCCCATGGTAGAAGATCGTGTTTGACTGTGCCTGGCTTCAAAAATGAAAGGAACAGAGCAAAGATGAAAACAAAGCTGGGGCTCAGTCCAACTATCTTTGGAAAGAACAAATAGACAAACTTCAGTGGCTCTCCTGTGGACAAATATATTTATATTCCTCAACTAATAAACTCAGTCAAAGCCAGAGCAATCAGGAGGAAAACAAAGGCATTTACAGCCTGCATGCTTTGTCGCACACAAGAACCAGTTTGGCTGCACCGGAAGGCTGAATCCCATTTCATCCTTTGCACTTTGTGACCCGAGCGACGTGCAAACGTTAGCATTTTTTTAAAGGGCTGCCCATTTGTGTGTTTGTTTCTGTGCATGCTAAGTTGTTGGCACAAAAGTGAGCGCAGAACTTGTTAAACGGCTACAAAACAAGCTCCTCATGTGAGACGTTAAATAACTTGTCTGAAAGCTGCCATTATTTTACCCATCATGCTTCAGATAACGTGCTTGTAGTAAAATTTTATTTTTACAACAGCTGGTTGGTGTCGTTTGCCACTCGTAACGGTAAACATGTAAAAAGTGGCTCTGATGTTCTAAAGGGTCTGCAACCTTTACGATCAAAAGAGCCGCTTCTGCCCCTTTGGTCACTACATTACATGACCAGAGCAGCAAGACCACAACTGGGATTCTCAACTGGTGGCCTGCAGACCACTAAGTTTGTTGGAGGGCACTTTCCTGGCCAGTAGGGGGTGATAATATAAAACTAAAAATATTGAATAATTCTTAACATTTATTGACATTTTTACATTTTACGACTAAATAAAAGTAGAGTTTCTTGTAAAGCAGGAAAAAACTTTTTTTGGTCCAATTTCTAAAAATTAAAACATGCAGGCCTATGTGATCATTACTATTTTTAATTGTATAAAAATTAAGTATCCTACAAAACATTATGTTGAAATAAGCAAACTACCGTAGTACGGCTGTTAGTGATTCTTTGGTCAAAGTTTATGGCTGAGAATGTTCACTATGCCCATGAACCATATGTTTGGGTTAGAGAGCTGGATGAGGCTACAGCATGCAGCTATCACTCCAAGGACACCTCTGAGTTTGAACTCTGCTGAACTGATAAGGCTATAAAAACAAGCTGCACACACTGCCCGTGGCAGATTCTTGAGACTGGCCTTCATGCGTGTACTTCCTGTATATCTTTGTCCTGAAAATCTGTCCTTGCTAGTAAAACCCACTTAAAAATCTTCTGTCATCGACTGTGGCTCCTTTAGAGTAAGCGAGATAAAGCGAGAACATTTTTCTCCAACAATGGCTGCCACTAACATAATTTAAGTACCTAAATTTATTTTGGTCCTTTGCTGGAGAAGGAGCTCTTTAGCGAACATTTCTGAATTTTAACTGGTCAATAAAAAGGGTCAACATGTTGACGTTTAAAATACACCTCCAATAAATGTCACATTTTATAAAATGACAATTTCAATCCATAACTATTTTATTATTAGTCTATTCATTTATTTGTATTAAATAAAAGAGGACTTTCAAACTAAGTGTTACATGTTTCTTTTATGGAATCATTAAGAAACACATGGGAAGAACGAGCGGCGCCGTAAAACTGCAGAGAAGGTGTAACATGGTGGTGTTGCTCAACGCGAGACATTAATGTGTGCTTCAGGGCAGAGCTGGTTCAGGTTTATTGGCTTTGAGTAAACCAGCTGTGGCGTTCACTGGCGTAGGAACAATCCTCGTTAGAAAACTGTGCAGAGCTCAAACACTCAGCCTGGGGGGGCTCCAAGCTCAGTTATAATCTGGCATCATGTCTAAGTTGTGCTCGGTTCTTCTTAAGTAAAGCTCATTCAGTTTAATAACCAAGGTGAGTCAGAGAGCTCACAGTTGCCTCTTATAAAGAAACGTACGCAAAATAAATGTAGCATTCCTTGCTCTAGTTGACATTTATAAAAATGTTTTACAAACGTATTCCTGTTGAGGATTGTAAACATGGATTTTTCCAGATTTTGATCTGAAGGTTTAATGATCAACTCCTTAAATATAACTGAGCACAGTCAGTCAGGAGGATCCGTTTTTATTTTTCCTTTGTTTTTATGTTCCATCTGTGGTTCTATGTGCCATCAGTTTATTTTACCAGTACTTTTCCTCATTTGTGTCATCTTCCACTTGTTGTGTGAAGGGTCAGTAAACAAATCCACAGCCTTGGACCGGTACCTTTTCTATCTCTTGTGCTTTGGCGGCGATGGCCAAGGCCCGTCTCTCTTCAAAGTCGTCTAAAGGCTTTTTGCTCTCTTCGACAACGGGAGCCACAACTGGTTCCACTTTTTCCTCCTCTGGAGGATTGCTTTCCTCCTATGAACGAAAGAGGACAAAGAGAGAGCTGTAAGAAAACGTGAAAAAGACCATGACGGTTGTTTTGAACATTGCAAGAAAGATAGAAAAACAAGCTTTGTGTAAAAAGAGAACAGATGTAAGCCAACAAGATGCTGAGGACTGGGCAGGATGTGAGTCAGTAACTTGAAGCCCCGCTTCAGTGGGATGTTGTGACCCACTTTTACTAACAATCTACAAGAGTGATGTTGTGAACGGTGCTTAGTTGAGTAGTTTAATAGTGAATGTAAACCCATCACTACAACATTCATTCTTGAACATTTGACGCACAATAGTCTATAGCTTCACAAAAGTATCTGGCTGTGGTTTTAGACGATTTCAGGGAACAGGAAGTTCCACAAAACGAGCATAAATGAGTCTTCTATTGAAGAAACTAAAAACTCCTGCTTTTAGAAGAATTATCTACAAAGCGAACGGCGCAAAGGAGGAAACGAGGCCAACTTGGATCACTGCTCAATTTATATTACTCATTTCCTGATACTATTAGAGTCTGGCGGCCGAAGTGCAGAACTGCCTGACCATGACGGATGTCCACTCATACGTTAACTGGAAACGGGCCACGGACTACAGTAAGTCATATTCCTAGATGTCTGAGTGAAGATATTCCAGGCGATGGAAGGTCTAAAATAAGAGCACAACTTGTAAAGAATCATCCAATTATTCTTTCCTAACTCTCCCTGAAGCTACGCTAGGAGACGATCTTTCATATAAATAAGCTTATGTGCATATCAAAGTTTGCATTTGTCAAAAATAAAAAATAAAAATCCACGTCTGAAGCTTTCAGGGTACAGAAGAACAAATCTTTTGCTTTCACTTCAAAGAATGGCAGCCATCTTTTCGCCCAAAAGTAAAAACTGGAATGCTATTAATCCCTGGGGTATGTATATAATCAATTTCAATTAACTGCTAAAAAGGAGAACAAATATAAGTTCTTATGCAAAAATAGTTTTAATCTTATTTCTATTAAAAGGAGGCCTGAAAACTGGGAATTGACTGGAGTTTAATATTTTCCACGTTCTAGTAAATAACTAAAGTTCTTTGAAGATGCAACAAAAATTCAGTCGGATCATCTAGATGGTTTCTTTTTTTTTGTTGAGACGTTTCGTCCTTCATCCAAAGGACTTCATCAGTCCGAGGAGCCACAAACAAACTCAACAAGCAGCACATTCACACAGTGGACCAACCAGTTTCATGGTGATAAGATGGTTTCTGGGGCTCACCCTCTCCCCTGTCGACTCCTCTGAGGCAGCCATAGCCAAAGTGCTTCAAAACATCAAAGTTCATGCTTAATAATCCAGGTAATCCAGGTTCATTGAGCATGAACTTTGATGTGTTGAACCATTTTGGCTATGGCTGCCTCAGAGGAGTCGACGGGGAGAGGGTGGGCTTCAGAAACCATCTTAACACCATCAAACTGGTTGGTCCACTGTGTGAATGTGCTGCTTGTTGAGTTTGTTTGTGGCTCCTCGGACTGATGAAGTCCTTTGGATGAAGGACGAAATGTCTCAACATAATAATATATATATAAAAAGAAAAATACAGTCCAGATGAACCGAACGAACTTTGTTAAATTTTTGATTATTGAGCAGGAACTTTGATGTACTGTAAATATATTTTTCTAACCAAGGAATGAAACACCAATCTTTCTGAGCAATAATAAATCTGAGAACATGTTGGGAATAGAGCACACTAAATGTCTGTGCCTCGTCAGCTCAGGAATTTTTTTTCTCTCCCAGAGATGAAACCTTCAGATGACCTTCAGGACCACATCTCCAACCATTAGACCACCCTGGCTCACTTCAACATATGTAAACCCCCCCCCCCCCCAGTTTCTTCAGTCTGGGATGGCTCCAGAAAGCCTACATGTGTTTGTTGAACCTCCACAGCAGGCGGTGACTTGGGCCGTTAAAACGAGCTTCACCGAGGGCAGAGGACGGCCCTTTCATCTCGGCTAAGGTTATGGGTTTGTGCCCCGAGAACAGAAAGCAACAATGCACCACAGGCCGGATCAAACGGAGGTGGAAGCACATGTGTGCATGTGCTCGACATAAAGGGGTGGGGCATTTGGCAAAACCTCCATCGCAGCAGCTGGGCGGTTTGTTGGAAAGTTGCGTCCTAATTACTCGTGTCGTCCGTCTCTGGCACTTTCAATTGGAAAATCTAATCCAACATCACAGGATTTTTAAAGAGTTTGACTTGAAATGTAAATTATTCTCCAAGTTATAAAAAAATAATGACAACCCTAAAACTAAAGACATAGTTTTATGTGCTTTTGGATCAAAGTGGGCTAACTCCTGTTTATAAAAAGGTTAAGGAATGTTACAGTCTGAATTTAAAAAAAGCAGTGTGGGTTTAAAGTTGTCTGACTAGCAAGCAACCATCCTGTAAACATATTCTGCATCACTAAATTAAAACTAAATATCAAAAACTCGAGACTGACTTTCCATTTGTTTGCTTATGCACTTTTTAGCCAAGGCTTTAACTTAAAAATTATAATTACGGTATATTTTTATGACTTCGTTGCATCGGTCTTTATTAATTTAAAAACATTTTCAAGTAAAATCACAAGTTTCCATACTTTGACTCATTTCTACACAACCTGTGACCCAAAGATAACTAAACCAACGTGCTGACTCGACTTCAAACTAATTAACGTTTCAAGCCTTTGATAAAACAAACTCAGAGTTTTAGTAAGTATAACTGAATTTACAAATGCACAAAGTTGCTCATTACAGAACATCGGATCATCAAACATGCTCAATTTTATGTCAGATTTTTTTCTGCATTTATATTAAAAAGGACATTAGGATGAATATGTTTACAGCTAAAGTGCATCTTTTATACGCTCTGGACTACAATGAATTTAATGCACAATACTTCTGCATTTTGTTGTTAAAAGTATTAACATTTTATACAAATTTACTATATAGTAGACATCATTGTGTACAATTAAATCTGCCTTCTTTAATCCTAAGCAGACAACATCAGTATATGTACAAAGCTATCATGGGTCAACTCCCCTCTTATTTATGTACCTTAAAAAATACCTTGTATATCTTTATTTATTTATTTTTTAACAAAAACCCAGCATTTTCCCATTTTGCACTTTGGTCATAGAATAATCTTCAGTCCACACTAAAGCCTAATATTTAGTCTCAGAGATTTTAAAGCTGATACAGTTATGTAAATGACGAGTACAACTACTGTTCTTAAAATATATTTTGTACTTTTATGTTGATCCCCTACTTGTTTTTGTTATAATAAAGGCTACTATACTAAATAAATATTCAGTAGTCCCTCATTTATTGCAGGGGATCCGTACCCTGAAGCCTTGTGTTAAGTGAAAAACCACAAAGTAGGAATACTAGTACAAGTAGTAAGTAGTAGTTTATTTTAGTATTTATATATTAAGGCATTTTAAACCTTTCCCACACTTTTGCAATATTCTAAACAATGTTTCTAAACTCTAAACGCTCTAAAAGAGCACAGCATGTCATGATTTCAGCTCTCTGCCTCGTCTGCTCTTTGCCACCTGCAAGCGCTCTTGGCCCCGCCCACTTCTCCGCTCTGCACGGAGAACAGCTGATCAGCTGCAGCAGGAAGTTTATCCTGCAGTATGGGCTGCACAAAGGTGCAGCAGGTGCTAAATAATTGAAAATAATTTATTTAAAAATTAAAGTTCTATGCCGATCGTGCGGCTCATTTATCAATTGGCCAACTGTGTGTCAGGTCCAATCTTGTTTTGAAAAACCGCGATAGAGCGAACCCGCGAGGGACTACTGTATTGATTTTATAATTATAAAATGTAACGATACAAATGAAAAGTGCAAAAATAAGAACTCTCTTATGAGCCAAAAAACAAAGCGAAGTTGTTCATTTTAACTGAAGCATATTCAATAAACATTTTATGAACTGCCTGAACGCTCAAATCAACAAGCAAATGAGCTTTTATTTATTTTACGAGGCTCAAATGAGGTGTAATATTTAATTTCTGAAGTCAATACCTTGATTCAGACCCTGACAATAGACATCACACGACCTGCCAGACGTTCAGAACCAGCCAACACACATTTCCTTAATGCGTAAAAACAAACGATTGTTCATTGTAAACAGCGTAAACGCATCTCGGTGAGCTCCGCTGGGACTTCTGCTGACTTTGCGATTAAGATCATGTGATAAAGTTATGACTCGGGCTACTGATTTAAACCATCACTTCAGGGTGGCCTCTGCCCCCCACCCCCCCACACTGCTCTTAATCACATCTAACTCTATTTACACTTCTCTGCATAGCTGAAGATGGATGATATCAGCAAAACAAACTACTATTTACAAATGAGGAGAAACCCATTCAAAAAGGTAAAAGCATTTTTAAAAAACCGTCAACATTCGAGCCATTTCTGCTCGACGACAAGTTCTTGTGACCCAAGTTTGTTTACGCCACAAGTAAACAAAGTGCGGGCTTGACGGCTTTTCAGCTGTGAGAGTGCTACTTTAAAACCCATTAACGTGCTTTAAAGGGAGTAAATGTCTAAAGAAAGGACGGGATTTAAGAAGTTCCAGATGCACCCTGCTGTACGGCGACAAAGGCCTGGGTGAGCAATGAATAGAAAAACAAACCAGAGTAAATATGGGACGGCAAAAACGACTCCAAAAAGCAACATTTGTAAAATCGTTAGTGGCCGCTTTTGTGCTTCAGCCTTAGATTTTATAATATGAACCAGGAAAAGAGGTCAAGCTTTGGGACACTTTTCCACAAACTCACCTTGTTTGATGCTGCGCTCTGTGGGGAACCTTCTCTTGACAAGCCGGGAATTTTGTCTATAATTTTCAAAAGGGAGAAGAGACGAGACCATTGATGCAACGAGATTTTAAATGAAGAAAACAAAGATTTGTGAATGAAACGAGTTGGAAGTACCGTAATTGAGTGGAAACTGGTAAGAAGGGAGAATTGCTATGTACAGTATGTGTATGTGGTTACCTCTGAGAATTAAAATAAAAGAACATTTAGTTCTATAATCTACAGAAATGCCAAAGCGGTGAAGCATTTGTCTCTGGATGCCTAGTGCTTTTAAAATTCCTTAACTAACTTTCTTCATGGCACTTCGAAGTACTGTTTAACATAACTCCACACGCTCCAAAAACCAAACAAATACACTGCAGAGTGTACGGGTTGGCTTCAGGAATATTCATCAGACACACTATACCCTTTCCCTGGACGTCCACGCACGAGCTGGTGGCATCTTTATGAGGCCTGACTAAGTGAGAGACGGAACGAGGGGAAGGACTTCCTGCAGGACACATTAGCCACGCTTCCTGTCCACTCGGGTTACCCCACCCTTTCATACACCGACACAAATCCTTGGAGTGTCACCTCACTCTTTATTGATTTGTACTAAGAAAACACGCCTAGTATAATTTATGTAACATAACTACCCATTATATTACGATGTAATAGCAGGAGCAGTACTTAAACTGTCTGCAAAAAGACAAGTATTGAGCTAAATCTATCCTTTTATTAAAAATATGTACCATTTTTAATGACTGGATAAGGATATAAATATTTCCAAAAGTTAAGTAAAGGTTATTTTACGATATCGGAAAACAAAAACTAAAGCAAAAGCGGCTGAAGTTACAAATTTGTAATACAATTCTATACCCTAATAAGTTATCTACAAAAAAAAAACTTGACACAAGTACACTAAACTTTACTTACCAGTTATTTTGGACTGAAACTATTGTCTTCATACTCTGCAGTGCAGAAAGACCTAATCTTAAACTGTTTGAGGAATGTAACGTCTCACAGTCGCTGCCCGAAGGCTAAAGATGTGACTATACTTTAGTATCTGTGCTTTAAAGACAGGTAAAATCATCTTAGAACTCCTAAGAGTTAAAACAATAGTCATTATGTAGTGATGGAAAGTGAAAAGTAAATGACATTTAGTATTAAAATAGACACCAAGCCCTTATTTTTAAGGGGGAAAGCTGCAGATTAAATGGAAACGCCAAGGAAAGATGAAAGCTAAAAGGGAACAGGTAGCGAGGAGCTACTTCAACACTTCTGCGTTTTACTTAAGCTAACCGCTCTTGACTAAACACACATCTACAGAGATAATACAAAATCTAAAATGAGACTTCCATTTGTTAAAAAAAAATAAAAAAATAAAAGTAGTCATGGACTGAAGTAGTGCATTGAATAGAAAGAGCTAACGAGTCTCCTCAACAGGAAGTGGAAATGGCTCGAGTGGGGGTGTAACGAGATCCTGTGGCACAAGATTTCGCAAAACTAAAAACGTCATGAGATTTCTTGTTGAGCTGGAAACTGATGTGCGAACCCCCCCAAAAAATGAATACATAAAAATATCCCGTGTGAAATTATCACTGAAAATTAGAGCTGCACCGATCCGATGTTGGTATCGATATCTTAAAAACTTCTTGATTGGATGTCGCGACAATGTGACGGATCCATAAGGACAGGCGCTGATTACTGTTTGTTTTAATATACGCCAACCTAGCTAGGCCGTCCCTCTTATTTCAGCTCCTTTGATTATATATTTTAGATTATATTTAGAATTCCTGAAACATTTGAAAGGTTTGTTGATTTTTTTTTTCATTTTTGACCAAAGTTGTCAAGCAACTGTTGTCAGTTTCAGTATCTTCATTATTTATTTTACATTTGATGTTATACTCATAACTGCACTGACTGAACAAATAAAGTTCTTGTTTTTACATGTTTGACCAAGCTTGTGACAAATATTGGTCTGTTTAAGTGTGCTGTGTTGGTGCAGAGCTTTAAATAAATTTGTAATTCGGTACATTTTTGCAAATGTTTTAAGTTAATTCTGCACTGTTTTTCTGTATCAGATCGGTATCGGGTCAGTATTGACCGACATTAAACTTCAAATAATCGGTACTGGAAGTTAAAAAAGTGGATTGGTGCACCCCTACTGAAAATGTCCCTACCACTTTAAATTGTTTGAGTGGGCAGAAGTTTAAACTGTCAGGCACTAGGACCTGCACAATCATGAAGATGATAAAAAACACACACAAAGGAGTTGCACTCTAATGTCCTCTTCAGTCACTCTTTAGTTTTCATACTCGGACTAAGAAACACCTGTTCAAGTTCATCACAGCAAATCTAAACAAAATGGCAAATTACATTAAAAACAATGTTTCCCACCCCCCAAATATAATTAGGAAACAGTTTGGCCTTTTTATCAAGTTTTGAATTTGGTCCTTTGTGTAAATGAGTTTGACACCCTTCTAATATCTTACGAGGAATTACGAGAGGAGAGAAGCCAAACAGCAAAGTTTATGACAAAGTATTAAAAATAAATAAAAATACGGATAAAATCCCGTCCAGCGAGACAAGTTTCTCGTTACACCCCTACGTATAAGTACACAAAAACATACCATTGGGTCTACTCTAGATAAAAAAAGATAACTGAAACACTTTTCATGAGGCCTGGGTGAAAAATACAAATCAGTGTCAAAAACACTTCAGGTTAATTAGGCTGAATTTGATGTTTTCTGGAAAAGGGGATCCCAATCATGAATTTAGAAACCTTACATTTGTCTAACATACATCCTTCTCAAGCCAACTCCCCACCCCAACATGTTTCTGACATGAGAAGGATGTAAAGTCAGGGCTTCACCCAAGTCCAAGCTGGTTCACGTGGCTTAATGTACAGACCCAAAGTGTCATGTCCGCTTTGTTGAGGGAAGAGCGCCCCCCAGAGGTGCTCAGGAGCACCCGCGAGACCTTCTGGACCGTCCACGCCTGAAAAGCCAATCAGCCAGATCAGTCAGTGACATACAACCGTGGGAAACAATCAATACACGTTTTTTTGTGGCTGGACTGTTTGATATTCTACAAATATATTTTTCCTGCTTTAATTCATTTAAATGGTTTTGAAATTATTGATTAGTGTCAATTAAAAAAAAAAAAAAGTGTTTTACTTTGTTTTTACTAGTCTTACTTTTTATTAATGCAATATTTAACATGCCTGCTGCAATGTTAGAGAAATCACAGTAACAAGTTTTGTTTTATAGCACTAATTTATGTGAGATTAGTGTGATGATGTTCCAACTATAAATAACTTTACAACTATTCACTATTTTTTTTACAGCTTCGTGGAAAGAGAAGCCAAGCTGTCTACATACTCTTGCCTTGCTGTGAGGGAAAAGGCAGGCTTTTGGCTCGGTCCGGTGAGTATCCTCTGCTGCTCACGCTGGAGCCGGAGCGACTGTGGGGGGAGTGGGCCACCTCTCGGCGCACGGGGGAACGCTCTCGGAGAGGAGGAAACAGGCCCACCTTTCTTCTGTAGGGGTCTCTGTCCTCCCTGGGAAAAAAAAAGGGAGAGATGTGTTCGTCCGAACATTAAAATTTGTGTAAAAAAAATGTATGTAGGCTGAATTTATTGGTGTTGATCCATTTAATCTCAAACCTATTACAATGTTGCCATCTAGTGTTTAGGAAAGTGTACAGCATCACTTTATCGTCTCGTACGTTCAAGCACATCCTATTTGAATTATAAGTTAAATCATCTAACTCCTGTTTTTTTTTCTTCTTTAGGACAAACCACCCTAATGAATGCTGGGTTTTTAATTTATGAGATCCAGTTGTCATTTCTTTTTACCATCTGTTCAAGTTTTGACCAAAACTAACAGAACACTGAACTTTATTGGCCGTTGTACCAACAACAAGAAATGGTTTTAACAGTTTTCCGGTCATTTGTTTTGCCAACGTGTGAATGATACGAACACAAGGAGTAAAACGTGTCGACTACATCATGCTAGTAGTTTGTTAGCCACTTCTTTTAGCACTTCAAGTCGTACGGTGTGATCTTTTTCTCAAATCCACCAGTTTTTGGGGGGCAATGCATTTTAAGGCAAGTTGCTGAGAAGAAATATGGTGAGTCAACTTGATAATAAAAATTAAAGAAAAAAAACAAGCAAATGGAAGTATTCATTTTAATTTTAAAATCAATTATGTATCCAACAAACTGACCTAATTTTTGATTTTATACTTTATTACTTCATAATAGGACACTGAATTTTTGACACAATTAAAATGAAAACCCTCATAAAAGCCCGTTAGAATTTTTATAAAATTGGTCCAAAATATATATATTTTTTCTTTATATAAATAATTTCATTTTCTTTTGACCTAAAATATAAAAATAATAATGATTGGCTATTTTAATTTCTTAAAATCCCATCTACTGGGTGGAAAAGCCCCCTCCGACAAGCTTGAAGTGGGCCATGGACCACCAGTTGGTAATCACAGTTTTAGCAGGTGTTGTGGCTCCATAGATAATTTATTCAGTGTGCAAAGGGGCACACTTTTGATCATAAAGGTTGCAGACCCCTGCTCTACCCCGTCTGTACGCAGGGATTTCCTCCTACCCTCTGTCCAGGTTCCGGATGGCTTGCACTAATGTGTCCTCCCCGCTCTCCGGCAGCGATCTGGGTGCTGGATAGATGCCCTGGCTTCGCACATTATGGGGAGGTGGCGGCGCACGAGTGCTACAGGGATGAGGAAAAATAAATAATTCAACCCAATAATCAGACAACTGAACTGATTGCTCTCTCAAAATATGAGCTCTTGTTTGTTGTTCGCGGAATCAGAGCTTTCACAAAACTGGTCGCAATGACTGAGCCGTTTCCTAAAACTGTCAACAAACTGAACGCATTTCTTGGTGTCGATGATTTATGATTCTTGGAACATGAAAATTATGAAAAAAAAGTTAGACAAATACAAAGTGACAACATTGTGTTAAATGATCTAGATGAGGTAGAACTTGATAAACAAAAATAGCTTTGTGAGAAACTGATTTTAGCTAACGGAAGACACTTACCCAAACTCCAAAGGCCGTGTTGGGTGTGGTTCCTCTCTAGGTCCTCTGTAAGGATAATCCTCCTTCAAAACAACACGTGCAAAAGTTGAGTTAGTATACAAACTCATTTTAACCAAAACTTTACATTTAACGGATTTATTTTTAAACCTATGAACATAAAGCAAACTTGTCAGATTCTGTCTTTTGAGTTGTTTTTAGTAGCTTTTTATGTTTGCTATGTTTCTTTTTTTCCAGTGTCTCCACGCCATCATTTCACTTTTCCTCAATACTTTTCCCATCGCCTGTGGTCTGCTCCTGCCACACCTGTTTCCCATTCCTAATGGTTTCTGCTGCAGTCAACTTTTTCCATTAGTCTCAGCCTTTTTGTAACTTCAGTTCTCACTCCGTCTTCAGCCAGCTTTGTATGCTTCATGCTACATGGAGTCCTCCACCATTTTGGTTTTCTAGTTGCTGCTCCATGTCCGCTTTGTGTTTTATTAAATCAAACCTTTAATTATATTTGAGCTTCCCTAGATTTATCTGCATTTGTTGGTATAACTGCTACAGTCTACAAAACTATCATTGCTGTACATGAACTTATTCTCACTAGCTTGAAAATAAAATTTAAAATAAAGCAACATATGGTAAGAAGCTTTTTATTTATTTATTATTATTACAAGCCACCTGCTTTGTGATTTCACTTTAATTGCAAAACTCCAAATTTAAACAGCATTTGGCTCCTGGGAAAGTGATAATTTAGGCCACACCAAGAATCATTTGATTTGCGTTTACAATAGTAAATTTCTTTGGTAAAAACAAATAAATAGGTACAATAACTTGACAATAATAATTTAAATCATTATGCATAAATGGTAACTTCCCAGGTGAACAAGGATTCTATTTGTCTGAATGCAGCAACAAACTACAGTAACACACAATGTTTTTGTGTTTCCAAGCTTTAGGACTAAATTCTGCATTTGTTTTTAATTAAGAGAGTTTAGCTCAAACCAAACCATTCGTTGGTTTTGTTCTTTATGATTAACACTTGTTGGTTTCCAGAAAATTAAAAGATTCATAGAGGGATGATATTACTGATTTTTTACCAATTTACTTAAGAGCTAAACATTCTCACTCTTTCATTCTCATTGTAAAACTTATGATTTTAGATCAAATATCTGTCAGTAATATTACTTTTCAGTTTAAAATAGTATTTTTATAGTAAAGTTTGATGAAATTTTGTTTTTTTTAAATATTTGCTAGTTTTCCTTTACATATTTTTCTAAAGATGATATTTTAGCGAAAACCTATTTGTGTGTGCATGCAGTAAATAAATAGCTACTTACTTACTCTGCTTTATTTTATCCAATTACCTTATTTTAAATGTGATAATATCACAGTTATGTATTAACATGCATTGTTGATTGAACTACTTCAAAAGCTTCTATACAAGATATTTTATTTAGATTGGAGCTTCACAGTATGAATATTATTCTACACATCTTGTTTACAGATTTAATTACAGTACAATGCAGCAATTATTGAAATAACTTTTACATTCTTACCCTTCGTGAGGGTGGGATGGCTCTGTGTTCAGGAAAATGATGGCCGTCGCCTTTGTAGCCTCTCTGGTCTTCGTGGTAACCTCGTGGGCCACCTCCATTAGGGTAAAATCGAGAACCTCCTTCATACTCGTAGCCACCACCACGGCCATAGTCCTCATCTGGCCTGTTGAAGGGGCCCCTCCTCTCCATACCTCCTGCAACCCGTGGGTATGGACCCTGCACAGAAGAGTGGCCTGAATGAGATTTTAAAAACAAAGGCTGATAGAAAGGATCAAACTCCTGCTACTTGTATGAAACATGAAAAAACTACAAGAAGAAACAAGAGAAAAAACTGGGGTAACATGTTGACAACACTCACTGCTCGCTCTGGTACAAAGCGTTCATCATACAGGTCTCGTATGCTTTTTTCTCTTCTGTACGCCACTGGAAAGAGTGAGGAGAGAAAAAGAATGTGCTACACGCATAAAGAAAAGTTTCACTCTTTAAATTACGAAAAACAGTAGGAGTAACTCCCAAACAGCTACATGAAACAGACAGCTTTGTTTATCTGGTCAATTAGGTGAAATATTTTGATTCCAATCTGTTGCTGAGCGTCACATTCCGCAAAAAAAACATTTTTAGAATATTAAAATCGCTTAGTGTTATGCTTATGCAATAGGAGAAACAAATCTGATGGGGTGTTTTTTTTTTTTTTCTGTAGAATGCCAAAGGAATGTAGTTACACGTTACTTACTGATTAAACGCCTTTGTGGAAACTTCAAAACAACCTGTAAAATATATTTTCTTGTTATATCACAGTCATGAAGTGGGGTATAGCAAGTGAGCGCATTAAACAATGTATGCCATCACTATTTAGCTTAAAGCACAACAAACACTATACAAATAAAAGTATGTGCAGCTAATAAAACAAATCAAATGCAGCCATTCCTGAACAGATTAAACGTCTGCAAGTTACGTTGCCTGGAATGACGCTTCAAGTGGATATGAATTCACTAAAAGCAGTTTACTGTACGTGGTAAACGCACGACTTTGCCGCTATTGCAACAAATTATTACATAAAAAATGACTACAGTAGCACAAATTGACTACTAGAAAAGCTAAATAGCTAACCTCCGTCTCTGTGCGGCAAATTAAAGCTTCACGTGAAGGGCGGGCTTTCGTATCATAAACTACCATAAAAAATATCCAGAACAAATATTTACAGCCATTTACGGCTTTCAACAAACAAAAGCTTGTCAAAATGCAAGCATTTTTATTTCATTTCGGAAGAAAAACGTATACAAATCTCACCGTTTTAGTTAGCTTAGCTGTCTCCAAACAGCCGCAGTACGCTGACGTATATTTATGGGGACAATACGTAATGCGTCATCGAGTTGCGACGCAGATTTTACGTTTGTTTGCTAGGTTAGTGCAAATTAACAAATATTGCAGTTTTGGCGAATTAAAATTACTTTCTAACTGTTACGACTCGGTAGGTAAGTTATACCGTTTACACGTTTTCGGACTTGTATAAAACAATAATTAAGTGTCTGAATTTTGTCGATAATTTTCGTGTTTTTATTATGTTTAGTTTCCATAATGAGCGGGGGTTTAGCACCAAGCAAAAGCACAGTGTATGTGTCCAACCTGCCGTTTTCTCTAACCAACAATGATCTACATAAGGTAATTCAGTCTATGTAAATTCTGAGATTTGCATCAATCTCGTGAAAAATCTACAAATTTTTAGTATCATTTTGTGACAAGAACCACAAAAATAGAAATTTCCCAATTGTTTTTGCCCTGAAACGCATCACTATGTGACATTGCAGCTGTTCACCAAATATGGGAAAGTTGTGAAGTAAGGGCTCTCTTCTATAAAATCTATAACAATGACTTTATTGCTTTTACTTTTTGAACAAGTAATAACTATCATGTTTGTTTTTAGGGTTACAATAGTCAAGGATAAAGACACTCGTCAGAGTAAAGGAGTGGCGTTTGTTCTCTTCCTAGACAGAGAATCGGCTCATAACTGTGCAAGAGCAATAAACAAAAAACAAGTGAGTAATCTTCAATTCACATGTTAAATGCCACTTTAAAAGCTTTCTTTTGATGTTCTTTTAAAGGCCAAACTGTCATATAAAAATGTGTTTGTCACTCAGTTGTTTGGCCGAACAGTTAAAGCCAGTATTGCTATAGACAATGGACGAGCAGCCGAATTCATCAGGAGACGAAACTACACAGACAAGACTCGATGCTACGAATGTGGGGTAAGTGCATGCTTCGATTTTATTTGTTTTTGTGGCATTAACGCCTGTAGGCTTATAAATATTTCTGTTGTTTCTGAATGAAATTTTAATTGTGCATTTACATTTAAATCATCCCAGGATTCAGGACATCTGAGCTATGCATGCCCCAAAAACCTGCTCGGAGAGAGAGAGCCTCCAAAGAAGAAGGAGAAGAAAAAGAAGAAAAAAGCACAACAACCTGAACATGTGTATGTATCTTGTAGCAAGAAATTTGAGTTTATTTTTTCCACAACTCACGGCATTATAGTATACAGTACCTTAATCCATTTCCTTTTAGTGAAGAGGAGGAAGAAAGTGAAGAGGAGGGAGAAGACCCAACTTTAGACAGTTTAAGCCGAGCCATAGCTTTTCAGGTAAAACATACATAAGTAGATCTCAAAAAGTTAAGTCTGGTCATCTGGACATACAAAACAATGCAAAACAAACAAAAAAATGAACGTTTTGTCTTTCATCCGAAAGTCTTCCTCAGTCTGAGGTGCTGTTTTCAGCTCAGTCTCTTAAATAGCACCTTCTCAGAGTGGATCAACCAGTTTTGCTGCTGACAACCAAAACCAGCTGATCACATGCTCAAGAAGGACCATCAGCCTAACAATGGATCATTAGCACACTGATGGC